TCCTATTCGACCAAAAATTCCGGTTTCAATAACCGTAATTTCCTCTGGAATTTTTGGGAAAAAAGAGGACAACTTCGCGGGGTTTACCCAAATTGTCGAAAATCTCTTACGGGAAATTTCCGTTCCATCTGACATCTGGAAATTTTCCGGAAAAGTTACGGAAAAATCTATCCGAAAGTTAATGAATTTCCGAAATGCCAACCATTCCAACGAAAATTCCGAAATTTCTGGGAGGAAAATTAAAGGGAACGGAAATTTCCGATAAGAATTATATCCGTAAATTAGTATCGGAAATTTTGGAAATGCTGTTTCTCTCTGGGTATTGAAATTAGAATTTCTCATCGAATGGGAAGTGGCCAAAAATCATTTTTCATATTTCCAGAAACTTTCCATACCAATTACTTCCGTTCCCAATTTTTGTTTAAATGGAAATTGTTTTAATGCATGATTACGTCTCATGCTCAAAATTCACCAGCAAGCCTCGTGTGCAAGAAATTTTCTCAAGCCTCTGATACCTTCGTGTTTTTGGGTGCTTACCATGTAGCCAAAAAATCTGAAACTTTCGGTTGAAAGTCAAATGGAACAGTAATTTTCCAGAAAATCCGTTCGGAAATTGTAGAGTTCTTCAGAGGTAGTCTTCATTTCCATTCAAAACGTTAAGGCTGAAATTTCCTTAGCGTTTGCTCCATTTTTCAATTTCCAGTCTCTCATCAGTCGAAAACAATTACGGAAAATTGATTGTAAATAAGCGCCATCTCGTTCAGTTGGTTTGCTGATTTTGGCAAAGCGCTTACAACTATTCAGCGGTCATCCCAACCGGTTTATTCTGACCAATGGTAAGTACCCTTTGTACGATGGTGTTCTTTTAATCTCTGCTGCTTTGGGAATTTGTCCATAAAGTTTTGGAATTTGCGTTTTCAAAGTGATGCCTCAGTGGTGAAATGTCGCTATGCGCGCGTGCTTTCAATACATGTGACCAGTCCCTAGCCTTTTTACATATTCATGCAACTTAATGTATTCAAAATTTGTTGCACGTGTGAAACTTTTCCTTCGTGAAGCCACGTTTTGTTGCAAGAGTCGCCGAAGATTATGAATCTTAGAAAACGTTTTCTGGTGAATACAGACTTGGAAAGGTCGAGAGACTTACAGGAAGAATCGCTTTACGGTCTGTCTGGGAAAACCCGGGTGACATGAGGTAAACCTGAGGTAAGTTACATGAACAACTCTATCTTCAAACATTTAGGATCAGTGCAAGCAAAATCCTTTGTCTTCCTCTTGAGCTTAAAATGTTATCTTTCATACTGCCGTTCAGTGGCGTATATTGTTCCTTACGAGCTTGAGAAACTTATTTGGATATGTTTTAAATTCGACGTGTTCTTGAACAACTTTCAAATGAGTCAAAAGTAGATGTTAAGTAGTTATGTTTATCTAATCTCTAGGTTTCTGGTACGTTATGCTTTACACGACTTGGGAGAAACTATAATAGGATTATTCGACAGAAGAACTCACAATTGCGTTCTTCACTTGTTCTGAATACCCTGCCAATCATTCTTGAAATCAAAATCGCTGTAAAAAGTAGATCTAATATTCTGGATTTGTTGATAAATGCGGCTCAATGGTTAAAATTTGGTTTACAATTTAAATTTTTTTTAGCCATTCAAAAATTTGTCTTAAATTTTTTCCTTTTTGACAGTTCCTGCGCGATTGCACAGACGATGGAACAAAAGACTGGAGGAGGACTTCTCTGCATCTGAACCAGGTAAGTTTGTGCACATTGATTCCTATTTTTTAAATGAATCCTTCAGAATAAAGGATCCTTAGATTCCTTAGCTTTGAATCAATTGAGACAGGCCAAGAATGCAAAATAGTACCTCTGTTTACCTGGCACAATCTTTTTTCTCGTGGTGAAATATACCCTAACTTGCTGAAAATTTATCTATTCCATAATGTTCGCCTGCTAGTAATATGTATTGAAGTTCTAACTGACTTGAAACATTCATACGGTTAGTCAATTGTCGGTCATCAGCCTTTCATTTCCTATATTTAGCCTAAGCATTTCGTCTCTACAATAGAGCAAGAAAGCAGTTGTTCATTTATTTTACTTTTGATTTTTCCAACAACACAACTTGCAAACGACTGGAAATAACCTCTATATATCATGGCAAATGGCGAGTAACGTTTTCCATTTCATTTTGAATAAAATTTACTTTTGTACAAATGATGAAACGTTTTTTTGTGGATTTGGCAAGCCTTTCAGCCCTCAAATCACCCTGGGCGAAGTAACTTGTGTAAATTCTCCTCTGCAAGTGTTATTTGGCAGAATGCTGGTAAGGATGGGATAATTTTCGGCTATACACGGAGGATGTAGCAAAACTATCCCTCAATTAAGCAGACACTTAGGGGGATAAGATCATTTCTCGTTAGTAAGTCCGTGTAGGAGTTTTGTAGCCTGAACAAATAGAATCATCGGCATAGCTTGGACATCTTATGGTATAACTGTATGCCTGATGCAAGGGTTAATATTTATTTTTTCCCGGAGCGGATGTTGTAGATGGGTAATATATTGGATTGTGATGAACAGTGAATAATTTTCTGTATCATGCAATATATCAAACACGAAAGACTATGTTTGACCACATTTCCAAACACCGAGAAGAGAGTTGAAAATACGACGCGTAGCTGAGTATGTTTGACGAACTTCGAGGTGGTTGGCGATGATGTGGTCAAACACTGTCTTGAGTATTTGATATATCTTCTCAATCGAACCCAAACGAAGGAGAAAACAGAGGAATAAAATCGAGATAAATAAAACAGAGAAAACAGAAATAAAATCGTCAAAATAACATTTTGAGTAGTCGTTATGTGGTTGTACAAACTGTTCTTGTGGTGTTTACGGGCTCTCTTATGCGATTTGCTTTTGTTTCAGGTTTAAAGATATTTACAAGAGGCTTACTGACGGAGTCACTAACAAGAGAGCAAAGACGATTGTGATAAGATGTCTTTAGTTTCGAGCTGTGACTGATTTTGGAGATAAACTTTTTCAAAATTGTTTTCGATGAAAATTTCCGCGTTCTTGACGAAATTAAACATCCAAGATGAGAGATTTTCGACGTTAGATGAGTCAACTACGCATTTCAATTGCAAAACGTTTGAAAATAAAACAAAGTTTTTTGGCGGGAAAAATAGTCTTGGAGTAAACATTTGCGCTTTTAAAAAATGCGACCGGGAAAAATTCGGAAAAAAACTAAGTCTTTTGGCGGGAAACTTTTTCTTGGTTAATGCTTGGTTGCGCTTTTAAAAGGGACCAAAAAAAGTCCGGAAAAAAAAA